ATCCCCTTAAAGCCTCCGCTACAATGATTCTCGGTTCTGTCTACAAATCGTAGTAGTAAGAATAATCTACTGCGATTGGTCAATTCTTATCGAGCGACTACGACTACGACCATTGTAGACAGAACCGAGAATCATTGTAGCGGAGGCTTAAATATAAAGCCCGCTGCAGACGATGCTATTTTTCCTGCTGGATTGCTTGCAATTTAGTAAATTACTATCATTGCACCACTCAGCATTCAGGATTCCTAGTAATTTACTAAATTGCAAGCAATCCAGCAGGAAAAATAGCATCGTCTGCAGCGGGCTTAAGAACGGACTATGAATACCGATCTATGATTGGTCAATTCGTTTACTGCTTACATCTTATTGCTTAAGGCTGGGTCTACATAGGATGTAGTAAGTCGTGTCGGAAGAAATTGACCAATCACAGTTCATTATTCTTCGACCGTAAGGAGAATAATGAACTGTGATTGGTCAATTTCTTCCGACACGACTTACGACTTCCAATGTAGACCCAGCTTAAGGCCGTTTGTGTGCCACGGCCCTAAGTTTCTTCGAGAAAGTATAATTCAATATATAAAGTAATCGCCGATTTAATTAATTGAAGCGCAATCGGAGTCGTTTCGAAGCTTCTCCTTCGAGTTGCCACCTGCCAGGGCCGTACCTACGCGAATCGCCTTGACAGCTGACTCACGCCGCCATTTAATTTTCGACGCATCAATCTGCTCGCCGCAGGATCTGTCGAGTCTCGCTGCGATTTTCTCCGTAGAAAACGTCACAGCCTCGAAAATGAGCAAGCAAATGAATCAGCTGATCTGTAAATAGCCAATTTCACACCCTTTGTCTCTTAAAATAATCTCGATACGTCTTTGTTTCTTCGCGCGATCGATCGGTAAGTGAGATGGTTCTTACATAACGTTTTGCTTGTTTCAGCCATCGGCTTCAGGAAATGGTGTTACAATCTCAGCGGATTTAATCAATACGGTAATGAGGAATGGCATTTTTACTCGATTGACTTTTAAATCTCGCGAAAACTTGGCAAAGTTCACGACTCAACCTAACCTAACTTTGTTGACTTTAATTTTTTTGGGGGGGGGGGGGTTTCCTCTACGTGAATGTCGTCGACCTAGACGTCATTTGGCGTACTGTAAGCCTAGAATTTATATTTTGCTTCATACTATCTTCGCGATTTTCCGCGAAAAACCAAATATGACATGGAACTCGTTCCGATCTTCTCTCTTTATGATGTCTTCTTGATACATATTTCTTAGTGTAGACAAGCAATAGGGGCTTGGTATTTCTTTTTTTAAAAGATACAGTTACAGACACAGATACTATCTCTCTGGAAACAATAATTAAGTGCATCTACATCTAATTTGAAGGCATTCAAAAAATCTAACTTGTATCTGTGTCTCTTCACTGAAAAGTGATCTTACATCTATACTCTTGATGAAAGAAAGTGGCTGCCAGTACTGACAAGTGGCAATCAGAGCTTTGTATAATTTTTTACAAGGTACCAATACAGATACAGCTACCATCTGTACCTGTATCTTTCTCCGCAAAAATAATTCAGTGCATTTTGTATCCACATCAAAATCGATGGAGTTCAAGAGACGTAACTTAATTATGTCTATCTCTTCAAGAATATGACAATTTATTATACCGCGGAAATTATTTGGGCAATGTACAGTCAGAATAATTGTACTTAATTTTATTGTAAAAAAATTAATTTTTCCATCTAGGTTTATGGAGGGATGACCTACTGCGCGAAGATGCGGACGTAACGGAAGCGCTGAGGCGCGTGCCTCAAGAAATCGTGGATCGACGCAACTTCCGCATAGTGAGAGCCATGCAATTGAGTGCCTGCCATAGAATTCTACCCAAAGAAGAGTGGACCAAGTTCGATGAGGTCAGCAAAGTTACCATTGACCGATCGATGCGCAGGGTGTAATCTAATACGCGCCCACTATTTATACAGTGACATTTCCCATGAAAAACCGAGTTGAAAAGTCCCGAGCCATTTTTTCGACTCCTGCTTTGTAGAGTAGTTATTATTAATTAAAAATTAGCCAGTCAGCATCACTTTTTAAATGGTTAAACATAGAGGATCTTCGAAAAAGGCACAGCTTTTCATGGATTGTTGCCAGTTAACGATACCGAAGAGCCTCAATGGCAAGTTACAGAATTCCCATACAGGTAACTTAAAGCTAAATCCTGATTGACTCTCTGTCGACCCCTTTGATCTTTGCGCTCCCGATCACGTGGTATTCTGCCATTATTTTGAGCAGCAATCCAGCGGCGCATGTGTATCAACGCTACACTACCACGCATACAACTTTTCTCTCATTGGTCTGCCCAGAGCAATGTCGGATGCGCAGAAGGGATTGACGCAAAACGAAACAAATGAGCGGACCTATTAGTTATACTATGATATCGCTGTACAAATAGTGGACGCGAATTAGATTACCTGTGTATTGCTCTAACATAATCGATCTAGATTCCTCAGTTGACAAAAGAATGTTTTTGCAGGATGTAAGATATCTTCAGCCGTATGTCGATGACGTTATAAAAGAGCGCGAGGAGAGAGAGAGATGGGAAGCGTCATAAAACGCAGCGCTACGATTGATTATTATAGTAATGTAACAAAGATTATCCGTTCTTAATCCTTTCCGTGGAGAAGAGCTGATCTGTACATATATAAGATGAATAGATACTAAATAAATTACATTCGCTTGCTCGAAACAGCAATGAGCGACGTCCTGTACTTTGTTGCGTTGCAACATCCGTCCAATTTCCTAAATGTCCAAGTAATCAGTAATTTCTCCAAGTCAAGTAAGTAACAACCTTAGTAGCACGGTGCATTGACCAAATATTGGTTGAAAATTTGCCCAATATTGGTGGTATTGGGCCAATGCACTGTGCTAGTAGGGAATAAGCCGACTCAAATTGATGATAAATGTGAAAAAATGTCTGTTGCAGGAATGTGGCGCCACGCTGCGTATTGATAGACATAATATTATTATCTGTTTAATTATTGTGCCGCACCCATGCCCCTAAATAATTCGTAGCTCGTTACACGAAAGATGTCGAATGAAAATAATTATTATTGAAAGATACGCGACACGCATAATTAGAACGAAATTATATGTATATTGCGCCGTTGGCTATTTTCGCCCGTCCACATCTGCCGTCCGTTTAATATCCCTTATGTAAGTGCACGTTATCAATCATTTAGATGGCACGCGTGATAACGAAACGATAATTAAGCGATAATAATAATAATGACGTTAATACACTTCGCCGAGTTCTGCAAATTAAGCGAGAAGAAGAGCCGAGAAATACAGTACATAACGAATACCAGAGCTTGGTATCTTGACTTTTTGTTATCAAAGGTACAGACGCAAGATCATTTTTCAATGGGTTCAGTGAAGAGATACAAAATCCAAGTTACATTTCCTTGAATTCCTTCGATTCAGATGTAGATACAAGGTGCACTGAATGATTTTTCCGGAGATAGTATCTGTAACTATATCTTTTAAAAAAAAAAGATAGCAAGCTCTGGTGAATACAACAAATTTGTACGAAACGTAAAACGAATGCAAAATTTGCAATATTTGTAAATCGACAAAGCACTTAGCGTTTATAAAGGAGCCAGTCAGTTCCTCAATTTTCGAACGGACATTCAAGAAAGAAGACTTGAGAGGAGAAATCGAGGGAATGTATGATAGTTTTCGTCTATTCTAATTTTGTAAGTATGAAAACTATTGAAATCTTTCAAGTTGTATGTACAGAAGAATTGTTCTGAGAAATGTTATTATCGCAGCTGGATTCGGATGCCGCAACGAGGGTGGTTTTTCAGGAGACACTGACCAAAGCCCAATTTCCCGAAGCCCTGTAATCATACATTGCACCCGCATTATCCCGATATTAAGCAAATGCTGCTGCACCGAGAGCCCGAATTAAAATCTTGTCGAGTGTCCTCCAACTCCGAAATCGATACCTCGACGCCGCGATTAACGCACGATCTCTCTCCCTCTCTCAGTATCCGCGGACGTGCGTGCTGCACAGAGCGGGAATCCGAGAGAAAATGAGAAAGAGGGTGAACGAAGGCGCTCCAATGGGATTCGACCGGGCCGGACTCGCCGTCGCTGGATCGTCCACTGATCGTCATTGGGTTGCATCATCCCCTGCATACGTGCGGCACGCGTTTCGCGGGCGAATCGACGGATCAATATCTCACCCCCACGCGGAGCCGAGCCGAGCGACGTCGCCGAGAGAGAAGAGCGTGCGGCCGCCAAAGTTTTCAAGAACGCCGTTGTGACTCGACGTCGTATCGCGACGGGTGGCAAGCGAGCGAGAGTACTGCTGCTGATTCCACCCCGGTGATACCGCTCGCCGCTCCGCTGGCGGTCCACCCGAACGCGAGTGTCACCCCGCCGAACGCCCGAGCGAGCTCGTGCCTACCGGATGAGCCTGCCGCGTGACCACCAGCGTCTCGCCAGCAACGTGCCGAGGGACACGACGCGCGCTGGTCAGCACGGAAAATGATTCGAAACGTGGTAAATTGAGCCTCTCCTCGACATTAACGGCTGGCCCGAACGCGATCCTCGTCGGTCGTTCTTTCTCTCCCCCTTCGGGGGGAGGTTTTAACCGGCGGAGCATTCGATCGAGAAATTATCGTCGCTCTGCACCCGGCAATCGGTCCTCCCGATAAGACGCCTGATAATGAAGGAAATCGACGGAAGGGATTAATCGGTGACACTCAGTCGCGGCTTCTCTCCCGCTTGCACGCCGGTCGAAAATCGACTCCGCGAGCCCTGCAAGACTGTCGAATCGTTTCGCGAAAGCAGTACGGGGCGCTTGGAACTTTCGTACGTTCGTCATTTCCCCCTCGAGGGTGATTTTTTTTTTCTTTTCACTCGAGGGTAGCATCCCGGGAACGAGTCTTGTTGCGCATACCCCGAGGCTCGTGACGACGCGCTATCGGTTTCCGCGTCGCTATACATATAGTTCAGAGATCGAATTGCGGTGGATGACTCAGGGGTCGCGTCGAAAGTTGTACGGGGCGCCAATTAGACGGCTTCGATCGTTTTTCGTCTCGTCTCGCTGCCCCGCGAGACGCGGCCGACCTGCCGGGGCGAGATCTCGGAAATTCTAAATAGCGTCGGGAAGGCAAGTGTCGTAAAATAACGCAGGAATAGCCTCGTTAAAATCCCATGGCGGCGGCAGGGAGAGGGGGAGGGGAGAGATTAGTCGGGGTATAACGATCGAATAATGCTCGGGAGTGCATGCAATGCTGCATTCAGCCGGCACCGCACCGTCGTCGCCCGTGTCTCAATTTCGGAGGAAAGAACGTTGCAGCCTGCATTAACGTTAAAAGCCCTGCTTTTCTGACATTCGGATATTCTCGTGGTCGAGCACCGAATCTGAAATGCGAATTAATTAGACGGCGATCCTTCTTTTGTGCGGTGGCTTTTCCAATTTTATTTCAGCACAACCCGGTGAGAAATGATTTGTCGAAGCGACGTCGAATCGACATCGACGGACGAATCATTTCTCACTGGGAATCGTCTATTTTTCTACTTTAGATATTTGGCTTTTTATACTTTAGAACAGTCTAATCTGTTAGAAGTCATATGGGATATGTAATTTTTTTTATGTTTCACGTAAAACGCACTCTTGTTTGTAAGCTCTGTCACCGGGAAAATTTTCATTATTCTTTTTTGGAAAGACTGGTGCGAGAAAAACGAGACAAGACAGCCCAGATAGCACAGCGAATTCGCAAAGTACTCTTCAAGTTTTCTGCCTTTCTGAATTGTAATTCTTCAGAAATTCATAGAAGAATACCACAAGAATGATCAGGGACGTTGCACGCGCCGAAAGATACATTTCAAGTGGTAGTCACGAGAAACCTACGAGGATTAGCGGAAATCGTGTACCGTCCACTACGATATGGTCGATGAAATCGTTTTGTGCGATTTGCAGATGCGGGAAATGCAGCGACCGGCGTGTTTCCACACGAGGAAAACGCTGATAGAGGCGCATCAGGAAGACACGAAGACCGCGCGTCACAATCTCGATCCGAGGAACAGCACGACGATCGTTGCGAGAACAGTCAGCCAGTAACCTTCCTCGTTTCCTCGAGTATATCAGCTCGACACAATTGTGCATCGGTGACGTACGAATGTGCGATGAGATCGTCACGATCACGATGTTAGATCAATCAGGTGCTGCGCCAAAATACTACCTCTGCTACATGTACAAAACTACTGAAGAATTGACCGTATTAGGGCTACAATGAGAAGATATAGATACATTATTATATTATAAAAGAATTATATATATATATATACACATTCATCCAAGTATATATGGAAAGGATATATTCTGATGGATAAGCGTTTACACACAGTATTGATATAACGTTCTGTATCAGAAAAGACTCTTCCTTGCTACTCGAGGTCCTCAGAGGTCGATTGACATTATTTGTTATGGAAGCGTTTAGGGGAAAGGAACGGGAGAGGATGATAATTTATGCCTATGAATTTTCTGGGTGCGCACGTGTAGTAGGAGGATAATCGCATACACACGCAACAAAACACGCATCGAAAGCTCAAGCTGAATAGATTTAAGTTAGAAGCGAGAATGAATACGCCATACGATGAGAGCTTAATCTGGATAGTAGTGGTCGGCTTTATAGTGGCGTTCGTTCTGGCGTTCGGCATCGGCGCCAACGATGTCGCCAATAGCTTCGGGACGAGCGTCGGCGCCGGGGTGCTCACGATATTCCAAGCCTGTGCTCTGGCAACCGTCTTCGAGATCGCCGGTGCCGTTCTGATAGGATACAAGGCAGGTATCGCGACAACGCCAGTTGTCCAACTATCCGCAATTCATTCTGTAAACGCAAGTAAAGATGTTAGAGATCAGAGGGAGAACCCAAAGGCCCACATTCTGAGAACTCTTTTATTCGATAAAAGCGCCCGTAAAAGATCCTTTCAGCCAATAAAACTGCTTTGAAACCAATTTTAGCGGCGCTCTTAGCGATAAAAGAGGATTCGGAATATGGGTCGTGGTCTGTAGTTTTCAAAACTTGCTCCCTTTCGTCCCGATTTGCGCGGACATTTTACGAAGCAACCTATAATGGAAATACGATTTTGGAAAATGATTCTTACTTAGCGATTTGTCCCTCCGCTGCAGGTCTCCGACACAATGCGAAAGGGTATACTGGACGTCTCGTTGTACGAGGGCCACGAGAAGGAGTTGATGATAGGAGCGTTATGCAGTCTAGCCGGGTCCGGTATCTGGCTACTGCTGGCTACCGCGTTACGACTTCCAATTTCCGGTACGCATTCCATTGTTGGTGCTACAGTTGGATTTTCGCTCGTGTGCCGGGGTACCGCCGGGGTTAGTAGCACCACGACGCGTTGCGCGTCGTCTACAATGCGTGGAGTAAGCCTGGAGTAAGGAGTAGGAGTAGGAGCAGGAAAATTAATCAATTTTATTTCTTACTCCTTCTTGAGCTCTTACGCTTACGCTCGATGAATCAGAACGCCATCGCGCGCGGCCAGTGTTACAAATATTTTTAAAATTATGCCTGCATTTTAGCTGCCTTACACCAAAAGCTAAAGGTCACGGTTTCTCTCTTGCTCCTTACGCCAAGCTTTACCCCACGTATTGTAGACGACGCTTTACGTTGCGACTGCGTTACGCGCCGTAGTCCATGAATGTAGCAATCTAACTCTAAGCCGTACGGATGCCGTAGGTGAAATGGATAGCTCTCGCCAACATAGCGGCGTCCTGGTTTGCCAGCCCTCTGCTCAGCGGGGTCATGTCCGCCAGTATCTTTTGGCTTCTTAGAAAATCCGTGCTCCAGTCCAACAAGCCGTTTGAACGAGGTCTCCATATTCTCCCCATAGCATACGGTCTCACCGTTGCTATCAATATTATGTCAATTGCGCTTGACGGACCTAAACGTGAGTATTTTGGGACAATTAAGTACGTCAGTTTACCCCAAAATTCGAAATCATATTTTCGAGGGAGCGAAAGGGAAAATGACATATCTCCATGCAATACTCTTGATCATGAATTTTTCTTCTTACTCAAGATATGTTTTTTTTTTCCTAACATGTCAGTACTAAAGATGGACAAGATGCCGTGGTGGGTTAGCTTGATAATCGCGCTGCTGGCGGGCAAATTCGCTGCGATGGTCGTGTACGTGTTCGTGGTGCCACGGCAGAGAGCGAGAATACTGTTAACGTCGAACGGTAGCGACGAGAAGGCAGCGACAACGGCGGCGACGCACTTTGGCCCCTGCCAAGAGAACAGCGAGACGACGGCGTTGTCGGTGATCTCGGAGGTTCCCTGCGGCGGCAGCAGCAACGGCAACGCGAAGGCCGATCTAGCGCCGCAGTTGCGCGGTAACAGCAGCGAGAGCCCGTTGCTGATGGTCTCCCAGGTGGAAGCGGAGAACGCGCAGATGGACGGGATGGTGGACGACGAGGAGCAGCCGGAAGTCTCGAGGCTGTTCTCCTTTCTGCAAGTGCTCACCGCGACGTTCGGCAGCTTCGCGCACGGCGGCAACGACGTCAGTAATGCGATCGGGCCGCTGATCGGGCTCTGGTCGGTATACGCGGAGGGTTCGGCCCGACAGGAGGCCGAAACGCCCATACTTATACTGCTGTACGGTGGCCTAGGTATCTCCACGGGTTTGTGGGTGTGGGGACGCAGGGTGATACGGACCTTGGGCCAAGACCTGGCGCGCATCACTCCCACGACCGGGTTCACCATAGAGGTAAACGCTTGGAGCTGATTATTTTCCAAGAATTCTAGAGAAGTGGAGTTGATCCTTTCGGTCTTCCATCGTGCCGAAAAATCTGTCTGAATACAATGAATACAAGGATAAATTTGTGATACAATTTTCACGGCAGTAATAAGAATTGATGTCCATTACACGCAACGTCTCAGGAAATCTTATTATCTTTTCCTTCTTTTCGAAGTATATTACAAGTTGCGTGCAATAAAACCGACGTCCAATGAACATTGTAGGTCCGAAGGGATCAATAATGTTCAATTCTTTTCTCTCTCCGCTATGTTCGAAAGGACAAGGTCAATTTCCTATTTGGTTTCATGGACATTAAGCCTTTCTCTCTGCTCCTTGATTTATGTACTGCTTATCTTGTAATGTGAAACCGACTTTGATTGTAGGTGGGTGCCGCGGTGACGGTTCTGCTGGCGAGTAAAGTTGGTCTACCCGTGTCAACGACGCACTGTAAAGTGGGATCGGTGGTGTGCGTAGGATGGGCCTCGCGTGGCGGCAAGGGGGTGTCGTGGAAGCTGTTTCGCAATATCGCGTTCGCGTGGCTGATCACCGTGCCGATGGCCGGCTGCCTGTCCGCCGGCTGCATGGCCATTTTCCGCGAGATAATTAGTTTGTGATCCTTTGCAATCGCGAAGCGCTTTAGACGCAAAAAACCATCCAACTACTGCTGTTGTCAATAAGTTCTGAACAAAATAAATGGTCGAAAAGAAAAGTTCTCGCCCACTTCGTTGCGCACTTCCTCTCAAATTTGTTTTAAGCTCAACTCTTAAGTGCGCAGCTTTGTAAAGCGACTCATCCGTGTACTTGAGAAATTCGTGACTTTGTATGTCTGTAAAGGGCCCAACTAGGGCTTGCCTTAGAAATTAAGGGCCTTTCTTAGGCCATTTATCTGTTATAAGATTCAAATTAGTAAAAGATCTTTGTAATATATTTCTAGGGTTTCTTAAACGGTCATTATTTATCTTGAAAATATTCAGAATGCTACGAAAACTTGCGCGTTTAAGAGTTAAGCATTGCAATCTAGAATAGATCGATCCTTTCCGCGGGGGATACCTGGGGATCAATTCTGTGTAACTTACGATATAGTGAAAATGCTAAAAGTGAGCGAGTTTGTTTCTAAGCGGACGGTTAAAAAGAGACAAAGTTAGCCACTGACTGAAAAAAATTTTCGCTACCGTAACTAATCATGGTTTGCTAAAAATATTTTGCCATAACTATAAATTTCTAAACCGCAGCAAACGGCTTGCTGTTGCACTTAATACAATAGGCACAGCATCAAAATATTTAGTTATCACAACTAAATATTAGTAGCTATCCATATTTTACAACTGAAATTTAGTTGCCACAGTTTTTAGCTACGGCAGCTACATTGTTCTTTCCGTGCTTTTAACATTTTCACTATAGTGTAAGATACAGAATTGACTCCCCGTTATACAGCGATACAGAGCCGGGGGTTAATTGGTTAAATCGATAGGCAGTCGCGTTGTTATAGGGATGTGTTTAATCTTCAAATCAGCAACTCGGCGAGTTGTTGAAATCGATTGACAGCGAACATGTCGGCGTTCGGCCGCAGAGTCTTCCTTACTTTCGACGCGATATTTCATCGTCGGTATGGCAAATTTACCCCTTTTACCGGGATACACCTTTCGAGACGTCAGCGTAAGTGTCCGAATAATTGCAATTGAGCACTCACTCTATTTCCACGTTAACGAGAAAATTATAATTGAAAGAATTGCATGGGCTAATGATTTCGAGGGCTATACTTTTCCAAATTGGTGCTTTAATAACTAAATGACGTATTGAACAAATCTCATCGTCTCGTAAGGTCAAGGATTACAAATTGCCGCACAAGCTCGACATTTTAAATGGCTTTCCTGTGACACGTGATACCAATTACGGCATCGGGAGGAGATTAACGGACGCAGCATCCGTTCGATACGCCGAAGGTCTAGATCCTGTGGAGTGAGTAACTGCGGACCTTCTTAATCGAAAATCATAGTCACATTGATATTATATAATTCTATAAAACAATAGTGTATGTACAAAATTAATTGAAGTAATTATATTGAAATTATTAAACTAATTAGAATAATTGTTTCACACGATTTTGAAACTGATGATGTATTAATATATTGTTATTCAATCGCAATTAAAATGATTATCTAGTTTTATTTAATTTTTATTACCAGATATGACATATCGTCGACTTACGGCCGGGTGCCTTGCCGCGTGTATCGGCAATTCGTGCCACATTACGCGCTGTTCGCGCAAAAGTGCCTCCGCTTCAAGGCCTTCTTTCGCCAAGGAGTCTTCAACTCGCCGGACGAGCATTATCGCGTTCGTCACGTAGACATCATCTACTATCTGGAAGACGACACGCTCTGTATGATAGAGCCCGTGGTGAAGAACGCTGGTTTCCGACAGGGCAAGCTGGTGAGACGCGGCAGAATTCCGAAAAATGCCAAGGGAGATCTGTTCACCTGGAAAGACTTTAATGTCGGGACTGACGTATGTACGTCGACGTATTCCTCGCCTCTTTTTCCTTCTACGTTACTTAACATTTCCGTTTAGCTACACAGAATTCCTTCAAATCTAGCCAAATAAAAGATTACATGGAAATAAAAGTACATTCTAAAACAAATTCAAAGTTTGTTAACATATACATTTTTTCACGCATAGTCTTTTAATGACAAGTTCTTTGATCAAGTTTAAAGAAATCTTAAGACACTTTGTGTATGCGCATGTACACTTCACACAAAATGAAAAGTGTTGCTTTTAAACTATCTCAAACGCTATTACATCCTGACTATTAAAATATAAATATGCACACATATACGCATGTACGTTTATATTTTAATACAGAATTCCTTAAAATTCCTTCAAATCTAGCTAAATAAAAGATTGCATGGAAACAAAAGTACATTCTAAAACAAATTAAAAGTTTGTAAACATATGATACATTTTTTCACGCATAGTCTTTTAATGGCAAGTGCTTTGATCAAGTTTAAAGAGATCTAGACACTGCGTGTGCGTGCGTGTGCACTTCACACAAAATAAAAAGTATTGCGGTTAAACTATCAAACGCTATTAAATCATGACTATTAAAATATAAATATACACATGTGCATGTACATTTATATTTTAATAGCTACAATTTTTGTTGGGGCGACATTCTAGGACGTACAAATGATTATAATTGAATCGACTATATTTCCCCTAGGCATTTATGGCGTGGTTTATCACATCGTCGACTGTGACCCGTTCACTAGAGAGTTCCTGACGAGTCAAGGCATCGATGTCGGTGAGAAGGAGAGTCTTCCCGCGGATCCTTACACGGAACAGCGCGACGCCAAGTGCAGAACACCGACAAGGGTCACGTGGATGGTGGGCGATGATGCCAGGCGCCGCTTCCTGGAATACGACGGTATGGTACTGTCGTTCGATGCCACGTGGAACGACGATCGCTACCGAGTGATGTATTTTCTGACGGACGACACCGTGGCGATCCGCGAAATTCACGAGCCCAACGACGGCAAGGATCCCGTGGCGATGCTGTTGAAGCGAATGCGTGTGCCCAAGAACTGGCAGAGTCTGCCGTCTTGGCACCCGAGTATCTACATGGAATACGGGGATCCCGAGATCGTCGAGTACTGCACGTCGCGGGATTTTAGAGTGAGACAATTTTAATCTATTTTCAGCCTCGTGCTAACTTGGTCGTAATATAATAGTTTGATTAAATAATATGAATTACATAAATAGATGGAACTATTAACAATGAATCATAAAACCTCTTTATAGAATTTCTTCATACTACTTGATTATAGAGTACAATTTTGAAATTGTAAGAACCAAGCAAAAGTCCAAAGACCAAGAAGCGAGTTCCTCTTTTACATTTCAAATAATACAAAAGTAAACACGTAAATAGATAAGACATTAAAGAATTGTAATAGCATTTTCGATCTCGGGGATGCACTAAAAATAAATTCGCTAAAACAAACGCAAGCGAATTCGGAATCACGTTATTACTTCCTCTTTAGGTAGGCGAAACGATTCTCCTGTTTGGACGACGCTTCCTACTGCACGACTGCGACGCTTTCACGCGCAAATATTACTCCGACATGTTGGGTACACCGCAACCAGACGCGATTCCGATTCCCGCAAGAGCGGACAAGTCAGCGCCGGCGAAGTACGAGATACCACCGCACATAAAATTTGGCAGCCCCGAGGATACATACGCCAGCTGCCTGTCGTTCGTGCCGAAGCCACCCAAGAAGAACGTCATTCGCCAGCTGGCAAACTTTCCGAAGAAGCTGCGCTACTCCGCGCGAATGGACGCGGTGCATCCGGAGGACGAGGGGCGCGACTTCGTGCTGGAGTACAGCCTGAGCGACGGCACCATCCAAATCAACGAGGTTGAGAAGCGTAATTCTGGCCGACGCGAGGGTTGCTTCCTATCCTTCCGACTGATCGCGAAGCCGTGCACGGGAAAGGACAATCCAGAGTATTATACGCCGCAAGATTTTTTCATTGGCGCGCGCATTAACGCGTACAATCATCGCTTCGTCATCACCGGCGCTGATCCGTTCGTGTATCGCTACGTTGAGGCAAACCGCGACAAAATCTGTCAGAAGATCCGGGAGAACCTGCGCGAGTATTTTCTTCAGCAGGGTATGCTGCAGGACGACGTGAATACTGAAGCTAAAAAGATACAAGAAAGAGAAGAACAGAAGCTCCTTACGGATAATATAATCACGGAAAGTGTTGAGGATGATGTTAATGCGAGCAAATGCATGGACAAAGAATTCGATACGATTGGTCATAAAGAATTGACAATGGCTTAATTCATCAATTAACGCATAAATGGATTTATCGGTGTGTTTTCAATACCGAACCCTCAATCGCTATTCAAACCCTATGAGGTTTGCTAATAAATTTTACAAGCAATTCTTCTTCGTCCTTTATAAAAATAGCACTGTCTTATACACCGAGCAATTCTGAATAATATTGACAACAATTTATTTCTTTGCAACAAATTTAGAATCGATTTCTCTTTAATTAAAAGCAAAACGTTGAATTAACAATAAAAAGTTTATTAAAATTTTATACTTTTTTAAAATTTTATACATATAAAATAATTTAATATAAATGTTTAAAATGTGAAAACTGAATTCATCAGTTTACAAAAAGGGAGCATTCACTTAATCAACTTGGCTAATGAATTAAGAAGTACGATCTTGTTTATATTATTCAGTATCGCTCACGATATAAACGTTGCCATCGTTGCAAAAAATGTCATTTTCTAATGAAAAAACAGAGAACAGAGATGCGTTTAACAATAAGAATCATATCTCATGAAATGTCACCAAATGGTACAATAATAATGATCGTCGTCATCGTGTACATTACAGTAGATTAATTGTAATATTATTCACTTCTCGTTATATTATCCTCAACTCATTTCTCTGTAGTCCATGAATAATATAATAATAGATGATATATTCGCAATACATATAGAATACGCGCTAAAATAAACGCCAATAATTTTCTGTATAATTCATTTTGTGAAGCATGATGGTTATAAATACAACTGAGAACGTTGTAACAAGCCCCTGCACCTTATTAACAATTAAGGGGAAATTCGACCCTTCTGTCGAGCTGCAGGCACCAGATTGAATGTCCATTGGTATTTAAAACGATATATAACCAATCCAAATGACACTTGTTTATAATATAATGTTCTTGTATAGATTTTTTCATTTTCAACAAAAGTTTAAGCATTTTACAAGAATTAGTCCACATATTACAGTTTTTTTTCCTTCTACCGCATTTTTTTTTCTTTCCCTCTTCTCCCCTCTTTCTCTCTCTCTCTCTCTCTCTTTCTCTTCCCGTCTTCTGTCCTGTTTTATGATTTGTACGTTTAAGAAACACCTTTCGATGAATAGCACGCAACACCACACTATATGCTTTGTAATCGTCAGGGAGTTTAATCAAATATCCTTCGAAACAGTGTATCATCCTCCTCCTTCGCATCTCTTCTTTTTCCTTCTCCTCATGAGTTGCGGTTATATATTATTTTACGATGATGCCGACGCGATGCTAGTGTTATCTGATTATCGGATTAATCATTTCAACAAAAGAACAACGCGGCCGAGGTCAACAACGAATGTTCGATTCACAGGAAATCAGAAGAAGCCCATTGTGGATCCAGGAAAGCAAAGGTAAGTGGTAGGACGTGATTATTAGTCGTAGCGTGCTTCCTTTACATCGATTACTCTCGTTAACGACATTACGTCTCTGAAATATCAAGCGCTACTGGCGCGAGCCTCCTCTACCACCACGACCACCGCCGCGTTCCTGCAAACAGAAAGAAGATAACGTTCCATCAGATGACGTGAGAGAACGACAATCCCGTTCGGAGGTAATTTCATTATCAGTAGTACGAGTCGAACTCAATAGATATCTACCTTGCGCTGATGCAGATGAGGCTGGTGACCGTGCGGGTGGTGATCTCTGGACATATCCGGGGCATGTCCCCTGTTTCTATGATTGGAGGAAGAATGATGATGCTGTATGGGATTGCTCGGGGCCTTGCGCTGATCCTCTTCGGCCTGCCGGCGCTCGTAATGCCCGAAGTCGTCAAAGATGCTCGTGGAGTGACGGTAGGTGTGCAGAATACGCAGTACCGTGATACCTTTCGCGTGCGGGACCTCCTGCGCGTCTCGCGAGTTGGTCACCGGCTTGTTCTCATTGTTCTCGAGCTTAATGTGCCGCAGCTGCACGTTAGGAACATCCTTCACGTATATCCAACGGACGCGAAACTGACCCTTCCACTTGTCCTGGGACCAGACACTACTGTTGCACTGATAGTCAACAGGGGAGACCATCTGCGCCATGCCGCAGAAGTGACCGGACCCGTTCACAGAGAAGAACAGATAAAGAGGCGCGCCTTCGCGGCTCGCCTCTCGGTAAGCCTGATCCAGCCGCTTGTTGCCGTGCTCCGTGCTGCACCAAATTTCGTACTTGATAGACCGGTGGATGTCATCCTCCGAGTAGGATTTGATCACGAAAAACCTCGCGCCAGGCGCGGTCTGATCAAAATCTATGGGATTGTAGTCGTTCTTTACTTTTAGTTCGTCGAGAACCGGATGCGATTGGTTTCCCTGGGCAAGTTGTTGTTGCTGTTGTTGTTGTTGCTGCTGCTGCTGCTGCTGCTGCTGCTGAATCTGCTGATGCTGAAGTTGCTGCTGATGATGCTGCTGATGCGACTGCTGATGCTGCGACTGCTGATGCTGCTGCGACTGCGGCGGCATGTGGATTTGGGTCTGCTGCGACTGTTGCTGCGGGATCGGTGGCGTCGCCGTGACCGGCGCGGATGGCTGCCTGTTCCAGCACGGCTGCGGGGGTTGTTGCGGTCGTTGCTGCCTCTGGACGGGCGGCGGCGGCGGCGGGATCGGCGGCTGCACCTGCGGCGGCGGCGGTGCCGTAGGCGGCGGCGGTGCGGAAGACTTACCCTCGCCCCACGTCCCGATGTCCATGTTGTGCTTGCCCGGCACGATAGGCGGCGGCGGCATGCCCGCCTTCTTCTTCATCCCTTGCGAGGACGAGAGCTGTGGCACCGGCTTCGCCGGCTGGCTCGCCACGCTCGCCCACGTTATCTTTCTCGGCTCCTTCGGCTCGGGCTTGATCTGCTGCGCCGTAGCCTGCGGATGCTGATCTTGCCGCGGTAGCTCGCTGCCGCCGCCGGCGCCGCCGCCGCCGATCGACAGACCCTGCACGCCCTGCTCGATGGTCTTGATCTCGCCGGTGCCGCTCGCCGCCGGGTTAACATAGCTCTCGTTGCCGCGCGGTGGCTGATAGTAATCCTCGTACTTGGTCCTCCTCGGCGTGCCCCATGTATTGAAGTCACCGTTGCCGTGGAAGTAGTTGAACGGCGGCTGGCCGAACGCGCTGAAGCCGCCACCGGCTGCCGACGCCGAGAACATGCTGCCGTCCATGCCGTAGGCATCGTGGCTTATTTGACCACCGTATCCAGACAAAAATGCGACCGGGTCGGTGCCATTCGACCAGGTGCCGTCGCCCGCGCCGAAGGTCTGATAGGGGAACGAGGTACCGGCGTAGTACTGGCTGTACGGATCGCCGGTTCCGATCGGGTAACTCGAGTGATGCTGAGCATTGTTGCCACCTCGCCACGAGTCGAAACCAGTGTCCTCGCCAGCGGCATGCTCTGTTTGCTGTTGCTGCTGGTGTTCCTTAGGACCATTGCTCACTGTCCGAAACAGAACTGAGTTTACTCGGCGTGTTCAAAGGTACATGCAGCGATTAGGCACACGTGATAAAACAGCAGCCACGACATCGCCCGTCCCTCGCAAAGAGATTGCTAACATTATTTCGAGATGTTTCCCCGAGGTAAATATAAATCTCGCGTTGCAGATACTAAAACAGCACGACAACATGATTTTCAGCTTTTTATTGTTACCTTACAGTGGAGTTACATCGTCCAGACAGACAGAATTAACAAGAGACAAGTAATCTACTGTACGTAACGCGACAGCCGCGGTTACGCACGCAAGCTGAAAGCACCGGAATTAGATTCAACGATAAATCGACCGTCGTATTCTACAGGAATTCGGATTGTCGGTGCGGCGCATTTTTAAATCTTTCGGTTTCATTCTGGAGAACGTTCTGCCGGCATCGACTTCTTCGCTTCTTCGACAAGACCTATTCCTTCGGCTGTCGCAAGCCTCACGGCGTTCAACGTATACGCAACTACACTTCTTAGAGCGTCCGGGCGATTAACGTAGCATTATCCTCCAATAAAAGAGCCCGCTCTTCGCCGCTCTCATTCAACGCGCGCTCCTCCATACGAGGAGTCTCTAGACGCCGAGCAACCGCGAGGAGGCGGATCGTCGGCCGCGAGCTGCCGGCGGGATACTCACCTTGGTTGCCGGTTTGTCCTTTCATCCGCTGCATGCCGTCGCATGAAAAAACATATAAAATTTAGAGAAGTGCCAGCCCTCGATAGTGTGACAGTAGCGGGGGAGGGGACGGGGGGGCGGGGGGGATACGAGGGGGGAGGTGTTGTACGTGTCGGTTGTCTGCCGCGGTAGCGGCAACGGCAACGGCAACAGTGAACGGCGCGGCACGGCACGGCGCGGCGCGGCGCGGTGCGGCGCGGCACAGCGCGGCACGGCGCTGTGCGGTGCGGCGCGTACCGCGTCAACACAACACACTGACCTGGTTTGAGACAGCGCCTGCCAATCCGCTTGACATAACCTGCGACTCGCGCGGCTGCCTCGCGTGTCGTCGTCGTCGTCGTCGTCGGCGGCGGGCGTCGAACAACGACGGCGGCGGCGGTGGCGGCGGCTACCGTATCAGAGGGGACGAGCTGGGTTGTTAGGATAGAGTAGGCGGTCGAGTCAAGGGTGCCACTGGCTGGGATCACGAGCCCCGATTACATCCAGCGATCCGTCCGTCTCTCCTGCTCTCGTTCGCTCGCCGACACGTCTCCTCGCAACGGCGAGTTCGGCCACTCGCACACCCGGGTAGTCCCGCGCACGGCGTCCGCGACTCCGCTCTCTACCGCGATTCCCGCTGTTCCTCGGCTCGCGCGCGCGCGCGTTCGCCCGACGTGGCCGTGGCCGTCGAGCGCGAACTGTGCGTGAGCTGACCGAGCCTGACCGCGCACCAAATGTCTCCGGCCCGCTCAGGAGTCACCGACGGAGCAGTTCGCTGCTGCGTATCGCACTTACGGCACGACGGACCACCGCCAACGACCGAAGTCACCGAACGGATTCCTCGGCTTCGAGCAACAACTACGTGACGTGCACTGACCTCCCGTGTCCACTCGCAGGCACACCAACCCGCGTCTCCGAACGAACGTCCCTAGGGGCTCGATTGTGAATATTTTCTCTCTCTCTCTCTCTCTCTCTTCTAGCGTGAACTCGTGAAAAGCGAAAAATTTCATTGACTGTGTCCAGCAGAAGTTAGCGCTTGCTAAGCGCTTTGCGCTCATTGGATTATACTTTCAGATCTGTGCTAAAATAGAGCTTTTCTTCTAGATCTATTCAATCAGCATAAAGCGCTTATTAAGCGCTAACTTCTGCTGAACACAGCCATTGACTAATATTGAATTCTTTAATGAAATCCTTTTACTTTCCACGAAGCCTGCCTAGCGTAAACTCGGAAAAAGTAAAACATTTCATTGAAGAATTCAATACTCGTCAATGAAATTTTTCACTTTTCACGGATTTACGCTAGGTAGTGGAACAGATTAATGATCGAGCCTAGTGTGACATTGAAAAATTCGCAGTGTGACGAATAACGCGTAAATACATTTATACGTTGGAGCAAGTAATTACATTAATTACTTTTATTAAAACAATTTTTTTAAGAAGAGACCGAAGGCTTGATTTTACGTCATCGAACGTGGGCCGACATTAGGCCTGTTCTTTATTACTGCACTACTGAACTAGTGCAATAAGTTAAAATGAAACAAATAGATTACCTCTCATTCCAACTCATTGCACCAGTGTGCACTAGTTCAGGAGTGCAGCAATAAAAAACAGACCCATTGTCGCAAAATAGTGAATCAAAATTCTGTCACTTATGGCGCTGGCGTCGCCCGATGGGGACGCTGGAGTTTACCGATCTTGATCTCACTGGCTCGTAGGCACAGCGTATAACCCTAATTGTTATCTGGGAGTCAATTTCTGGAAGTTACGAAAATGACAAAGGTGAGTGAATACTAGAATATTTATAATTTCAACCTGTGAATTCGTTTACTTTTTGTCATTTTTACAAGTTTCAGAAAAACATAATCCGCTTCCTCATCTTATTCTTGTATTCAGTTTTGACATTTTTGTAAGTCCGGTTATACGCTGCATCATGGAGTCAGTGAGATCAAGATCAGTAAACTCCAGCATCCCCCTCGGGCGACGCCAGCGCCAAAAGTGGCGAAATTTTGACTCACGATTTTGCGATAGTGTCGGCCGATAAGGGAAACTAAATTTTCTACATACTGATGATTAATTAATTAAAGCCCGCTGCAGACGATGCTATTTTTCCTGCTGGATTGCTTGCGATTTAGTAAATTACTATCATTGCACCACTCAGCATTCAGGATTCCTAGTAATTTACTAAATTGCAAGCAATCCAGCAGGAAAAATAGCATCGTCTGCAGCGGGCTTTAAGCCCATCATTTCGCCGCGAAACACAGGGACTCGACAAGTTGTCTCCACCTTTTTGCAAGTACTTCAGGAGTCAGAATTCAGACGGGCAGGTGATGAGCCTGCTGACTTGATGGCGACAAGACTCGCTAGTAGTAGTATGTGATAATCTCGGTGGTTACAAACTTCCCTTCGAGAAGTAACGTCCGAAAAAATCAGCGATGTCGTGGATTTGAACTCTGATCTTCTCGTTCATTTGTTTGCTAGTAGCGCACATTTCTCTGTGCCACGCTCACCGCACACACATACTGACAATACAAGAAATAAAATTTTGTCAACATATTTTATTATAATTTTGAAAACAGCTACCTGTAAACGATATAAACGACCAAAAATATGAAACAAAAATTTGTCATAAATATTGCCATGCTAACTCTCGTGGTGAGTCTCATATAGATTGCTCTTAATTACATAATTCTATTCATTGTAAAGTTTTAAAATTTTGATAATATCTTTATTGATTTTATTAGTCACAGTATATATATTATATATTAGGATTACAATTCTAATTGCTATGGCCACAAAGAGAAAACAACTACTTAGGAATAAGTTGTACCATTTGAATAAACAGAGCAACAAATACCATTTTTACGATATCGCACGACAAAATTAATCTTTTCTAAGACTGTAATTGTATTATAATACTGAGAATTAAAATCGACAATCTCGACTTAGTGAATTTAATATGCGTGCGACCATCATATGGTATATTTATCGTGTGAAAGTTAACCCAGTTTATTAATTCCCCGAATGCTGTATATACATTAACAGTAACACATATACATATTGTCAAATCTAACAGGGTACATATCCTTTAAAACGAAGAGAGATTTACTTTTAACACGGTAAGATGATCGTTCATTACACTTGTCATCTGCCTTTTTAATCATGCGATGTAGAAACGCTCACACCAATAGGTATGCTGCGTCTTGTTCGCATCGTCGTTTATCCCCGGTGATATATGAGACGTTAATAAGTCTTTGGTTATACTTTCGCACAGCAAGAACGGCTCAAGAAGCTGGTTTTTTGTTCTAAGGAAATAAATATCTGGCATTTTTTTCTCTCTCATTCCCGTCTCCTTTTGAATAAACTCGCTTCAGTTTCTAGTTATCCAGGAAAAGGCTTTCAAAATGAAATACGCTATGGTCGCCATATACAGAAGCTTGTCTCTCTGCTGGCGATGCAGCATGTCCAGCTCGAGTGCCATCACCCTGCGGTTTAATTTACCTACTTGGCGACGTAAGTGCTGAACCTCCTCGCTGGGCGGCAGAGACACGTCGAGGGCATTGAAGGGCGTTTGTTCTCTATAAATAAAGATGCGACAACAGATGAAAGATGAAATACCCTGCAAAAGATTCTAGGACCGCGACGAGCTCTGTACCTGACGTGTCTCGTTATCTGCGTTTCTGCATTGTAAGTTTTAGGTGCTACATCCACTGCCTTTACGACTTCATTGTGATGCACAGGGGGTTCCTCTTCGTCCACTGCTGGGAAGTAATGATTGCCCAGAGTCAAAACTCTCGGGGGTGTCTGTTAACAAGAACAAACGTCTGATGGTAAACTTGTAATTTTTGTTTTGTGTCGACTTATAATTTTTGTTTTTAACATATTACCTGTACTCTGACTATAGCAGGCTCGGTGCGCATTACAGCATTTTCTAAAACAATCTCTGGCGGTGGCGCCTTGGTACCAACATGCTGCTCTTGTCCTTCAATGGACAAGTTTATATGAGATTATTGCGGGAGAGCGAAGTAAAATATTACTGCGACAAACACGAAACATCTAGTCAATCGAGATGTCTCACCGACAACAAGAATCCTGTCTGGCACGTGCATTTCAAGCTTCTCCATGGCTGGTATTTGACTCCACATAGTTCTATTTGTGACAGCGATATCCTCCTCCAGGCAATCTCCGTTCACACGAATGCTTCTAGGGACTCGCATCCGCGCGTTAATATCCGCCGGAAAGTTCGGATCGTAAAAGCTGTCCGTGTCCCCGTTAAAATGCGTTGGACTGTGCGTCTTTGACATTATACCTGAAATTGCATTTCCAAGATCAAGTCGACCGCTACGTGAAACCTGAATATCACGTTACATAAGTATAAAAGTGTCGCGTCGCTTTCGCATCTTGTTACGTTGGAGACCTCAGTGTCTCGGAAGATAACGAGCATTTTTCCAAGTGGGACAGTGTACAAGTCAATACAGTGTGCAGACAGTGAAACGTAAAGTTAAGTGAAAATGTTAGGAGGTCAACAGCTCTTGCTGACACTCTGGCTGATGGCGTAACACGTTCGTAAACGGTTACGACAATCCTTCTGCTCAAGCCCCAAGTCTGTCTTAGTCGTAGACGTAAGGGCCTGAGCAGAATGGCTGTTTTGTATTCTTAAGTCATAAGACAGTTATTGTGCGTTACTTGAGGACAAAAATTAAAACACAAAACATTGTCTCAAGACTACAAGACAGCCACTCTGCTCAGGTCCTAAGGCAGAGGAAACCTTGAGTTGTGGAAGTCTATTTTGAACACGATTTAAGTTTTCCTCCGTCTTGCGGTCTCTTAAGTCTACGACCGAGACGGACTGTGTTTACGGATCATTCTTGGCCATCAGACTGTCCGACACCTTTGTCTCGAGTTACAAAAGGACAAAGTGCTCTCTTTAATCGAGTGCAACGAAGCAATATTTCCTTTTCAGTAACACATCTCACACGGACATAATCGACGAGGCACAGGCGACAGCGTTTCGTGTAGTCTCTCTCCCCCGTTCTGTTTTTATCGCTCACTCATCCGTGGTAAATACGAGGCAAGATATACGGTTAGGAGTCATTATCGAGTCACTCGGGTCACTTCGAAATCATCCGGAAGCACATTATCATCCGTGAAGCGATCGTAAATAGATGCAGATTATCAACGACCAACCGAAGAGTGTTGTTAGACGAGCATTCCGCTGTGAAGAAGAGAATATTTACCCTCTCGCATTTACCGTGGCTCGTCGGACACACAACCTTCACTTTCTGACTGAAGTTCGTTATGAATTCGACGAGTTGAAATTCGAGCACGGAGCACGAATGGACATAGAGCGGGCGCCACCGTCACGCTTGAAACAGCGACATCGACGAAATTGAACGTACGCGCGAAACTCGGGCGTCATTTGAATTTCAACGTCATCTTTTGCAACGCTCCGTTTATATAAAGGCCCGTGTTCTGAATCCTCTTTTATCAATGGGTGCATCCAGAAGATGTATTTTTTAAATTTAAAAGAATATGCCAATCACTGAGCGCTCAGTGAGCATTCATGTTTCTGGATGCACCCATTAAAAGGCCATTAAAGGGCGCGATAATCCAATGAGCGTACAGCGTACAACCGAAAGTCGTTACTTTTCTACAAAAGTAGTTCGCTCATTGGATTAACGGGCAGACCTGGCGTGTGACGCGCTCAGTGGAAACGCAGCTTTATACTATAAACCGTCATTTTATTTACAATTTAAAGCCTATCACACAATGCCAGGCAACAGGCAATAGGAATAGGGAATAGAATTTTTAAAGCCTATCACAATATGCCAGGCAACAGGAACAGGGAATAGAATTTCTGACGCGTTGGATTGGTTGAAAGAAAATTTCCGGCGAATCCAATGCGTCAAAAATTGGCTGTGTTCTGCAGAAGTTAGCGCTTAATAAGCGCTTTATGCTGATTGGATAGATCTAGAACATGAAGAATAGAGATAAGGAGGCTCAACTAATGCTTTCGAGAATGAGACCAAAACCTGGTTTCTGTGGTAGTTCAAAATATGTACACCGGCGGCGCTACGGTAGACAAACTATTGCTAAACAGAAGTTGGGAGGGGATAAATCATGATACACTAATATACACACTCACACCGGGTCTACTAATACACACTCATACCACAGTATAACCAGTATGCCCACTCGCTCTTTTGTTTCACGTTCGCGCCGATCCGTACTGCGC